ATGCTGGAACTGTGGAAAGACGGGCCACAGATCAAGAGATTGCTGGGCCCCGCGGAACATCAACCAGGTCGAAGGAGATTGGACGTATGCCCCGGCTACACCATCTTCATCGGGAACTACCGGAGGTGCAACGGCTTCAGGAGGAGTGCAAAGCTCAGCGAGCCTGCGGCAGGTTCGGCGAGCGTCAGAATGATCCGGCTGGTCACCCCCCCGGACATGGACGAGACGAGGATGTCCGACCTCACTGCTGGGGAAGATGAGTTCCTGGGGATGATCCAGGAGGTTGAGGATGAGAGCTACGCTGTGCTGATGGTGGAGCGCGAGGACGACGAGTCGTTCTTTGATGCCCACGAGCCTGCGGTGGAAGAGATCGGACAGGCCACGGTGATGGCCATGGACTTGCAGGGCGATAACTTTGAGACGGAAGACGAGACCTACCAGGTGAACATGGTGATGGACGAAGAGATGGATCATGGATGGTGCAAGGTGCTCATGACGGTCGATTCAGGCGCAGACATTTCAGTGCTGCCTGAGGAGGGATTATCATGAAAGACGCGCAGGGCAACATCATCCAGCAGAGCGGAATGAGAAAGGTGAACTTTGCCATGATGGGCAAGGACGGCAATTTCGTGGAGAAGTTCATTGTGGGAAAGGTGAAACATCCCATCCTGTGTGCTGGGCGTCTACTACGCAGTGGATGGGAGATGAGGAGAAGCGGAGACCTGAATCTCTGGCACAAGCAAGGAGTTGAGATTCCGCTGGAGATGAAGAAGAATAGCCTGCAGGTCGTGGCGGAGATATGCTCGGTGGAGACTGAGAACAACGAACACGAGGAAGAGTGGAACACGGTGGAGGTTTGTGTGCTGGAGGGCTTCCTGTACGCGAGCTTCAAGGAGCTGGAGAAAATTTCTGGATGTTTTGCCAAATGGCCTGGCGGCACATAGCTCCGTCAGGTACGTTTGATTGGAAGGCAAGGATGACCTTCATGAAGACCAAGGACGGTAAATGGATGCAGGTGGAGAACGTCACGACTACACGCAGCTGGGGAACATGGCGTTCAGGCGGTTTGGACCTGCGGAAGATCCTCAGAGGACCATTAGCGTTGTGGCGCCTGTGAAGATGAAGGGCTACTTCAAGGTGGACTCAGAAGTCCCGGTGGCGCGAGCTGCAATCAGATGAGCTGGGTTGGTTGGAGACAAGAAGATGATGAGAGAACCACCAGCCGAAGGTCATGAAGAGGAGGCAGCAGCTGAGGAGCACGCTGGTCACAGAAAGGAGGTGGAGATAGTGAGGTACAGCCTTGACAACTCCCTGAAAGAATTCCGAGAAGGGTGTGAACGGCACGGTTTGCCTACATCAGGGAGCAAGGCAAAGTTGCTCATGAGGCTGGACAACTTCAGGATGCACCTCGAGTCAAAGATGCAGACAGAGATTGCGAGAAAGCTGTATGTGAGAAGGAGCGGAAACGTCTCTAGGCATCCCTAAGAGGCCAAGCCTGGAACAGCAGAACGAGCACAACCTCACGCACTACCCCTTTGCTGGTTGGTGCCAAGCATGCCTCAGCACGAGAGCGAAGGAGGAAGTCCACAAGCGCGACGTCAAGAAGGACGTGGAGAGCAGCAAGACGGTGATCAGCTTTGACTTTGGCTACACTTACGTGGACGACTACGGCAACGAGAAAAGCCCAGACAAGGTAAAAGATGCGGATGAGCAATACGGCGCTGTGCTGTACATTGCCGACCATCACACCAAGGCAGTTCATGCAGTGCCGGTGATGAGCAAGGGAGCCCACAACCTCAAGCTGATGGTTGAGGAGTTGGTTCGGTTTGGAATGCAAGTTGCTGGAGGAGACCCCGTGATCTATCAGAGCGACGGGGAAAGGTCAACGAGCTGTGCAACACTGCAGAGCCAATTTGGGTTTGGAGACCGAGATCCGCATCTCAGGAGTGCAACAGCACGCGTCAAATGGACAAGCGGAGAGGACTGTCCAGAGTGTGAGAAGGCTGGCAAACTGTTTGAGGTACTATGCGGAGGAGCAAGCTCAGGTGACCGTACTGGGCAGCTCACACGTGTATCCGTGGAGCTTCAGACATGCTTCGTGGCTGATCAACAGGTACCTGCTGGAAAAGGAAAGAAAGACGAGCTATGAGGTGTGGTCAGGAAGGAAGTACCAGGGGAAGATTTGCTTGTTCGGGGAGAGTGTCATGTACAGACTGCACATCGTGCTCACGCCAGGGCGCATCGGCACCGACCTGGTGATTGTAAAGGGCCTGCCCTGGAACTATTCGGCTTCCGGGGTGCTCATGAAGAAGGTAGGGCCGCGGAGGAGGATTGCAGCAGCAGCTGATGCGGCAGAGGAAGACGAGAAGGCTGAGCTGGACAACACTGAGGGGACAAAGGCGTTTGGAGTTTCTCTGGAAGTGTGAGGTGCAAGGGCCATTTGACATTGGCGAGAGTTTCGAGCACCTCAAGAGGAAGATTGGCAGGACCTATGAGGCTTCGTGGTCCGGCCAGATCCCAAACACATCGAGGACATCGCGAAGAAGGCCGACGTCAAGATAGGCAACTACAAGAAGACACCCGCGAGGAGCGACCTTGGGAAAAGAGACGGCAGTGCAGAGCTGTCGGAGGCGGAGACATCGGAATTCAGGTCGATCGTGGGGAAGATGCTCTACATTGGAGGTGAGCGGCCTGACTGTCAGTTCGCCATTAATGCTCTTGCTGCGTGGATGTCAAAGCCTACGAAGACGGCATGGAGGCATGCAGAGCATTTGGCAAGCTACTTGGTCGGCGCGGAGTTCTATCGACTGCTCATCAAGAGCAGCAGGTGTGGGAAGTCCATGTTGGACATGAGAGAGATGCAGGAGATCGAGGTGAAGAAAGTTCACCTCATGGAGGTTGTCGCTGACAGCGACTACGCGGGGGACCAGAACTCGAGAAAGAGCATCACGAGCTTCCAGGTGTTCCTCGACGGCAACCAGAAGCCAGAGAAGCATCTCACTTTCAAGCGGTGAGAGCGAGTACGTGGCCATGGTCTCTGGGTGCAGTGAAGGACTTTTTCTTCGGCACGTGTGGTCCTTCATCAGAGGCCACACACCAACCCTGGTGCGCAGGTGAGACAGCAGCGCGGCCCGCGGAATGTGCAGCCGAGTTGGGATTGGCAGAACCCGACACCTAGATGCAGTCATGATGTGGCTGCAGCAGAAATGCCACGAGAAGGTGATCAGGGTGACAGCAATTCCGACGAGTGTCAACAGCGCGGACATTGGCACCAAGGCGCTGGCACGCGCCAGGATGAGAGGATTGATGTTCACGACGGGCATGGTTGACGACGACAACCGCGAGCTCGGGAAGGACGAGTTCGCGACATCGAGCGCAAGATGCTGAGCGACAAGGGCGCTAAGAAGATTCTCAGCGGCTTGAAGGATGAGTACCGCATGGCATTGGTGGTGGCATTCGCCAACGTGATCAGGGCGAGTGGAACCAAGGAGGAGAACGAGCCCAACGGAGCGGAGAGCGACAGCTGGATGTGGCCGGTGCTAGCCATTTTGGCCGGCATAGGAGCCTTGTGCCTGGTGCAGTGGCTGTGGAGTTTCTTCATCAAGAAGATTCAGAAGGAGATCATCATCTCCGGCAAGGCAACGTTTCAGGAGGACGACAGCGAGCCGGAGGTGAGTGCGCGTAGCGAACTCAGGAAGAGGACCAATCCGGTCCGGATGTTGCCGACAGGCAACGTGTATCACACGCACGAGAAATGTCCCCACTACAAGGGTGGGAGACAGGTGCACAAGTGTCTCAAATGCAGCGGATATGAAGGCAGCATGTGAGGATTGTTCTTGTGTTCAGTCATATCCGCATGCAAAGCATGATGTACATGCACCGCAATCGGAGGCTCTAATTGCCACAGGAAAAGAGCTGCCATTCGCTCGACATTTAGTGTATGTTTTTGGGCGTGGGAACACTTGTCGTATTTTTGTTTCGGTAAGTTCGGCACGAAGAAGAGCCGCCGTGTTCATCGAAACTGACGCTCAGAAGAGAGGTTGTCCCGCTCGATGTGCAGCGTTGCCTCGTGGCCCAGAAGATAAATACCGAAGTTCAGATGCAAATCAGTAGACCAGGTTTTGGGAGCAAGACGTGGCAGCTTGTTTGCCGTTGTTTGACTTGTTTTTGGTGGTTTTGACACCTGCAACCATGGCTGGCGCGCGTGCTATGGCTTGGCTCCCTATGGCACACTGAAGTTCAAGGACTGCAGAGCTTTCCCAATTTTTTGAGGTTTTGAGTTTTCAGCATCTCTTTAAAACCACGTTTTTAGGTTTAGAGGTTTTGAGGTTTTGAGTTTTGAGTTTCTTTTGAAGTTGGTATGGGTTAAAACTAAACCACCAGGGATTGGACCGCAGATTTGAGTCCTTGTTTCCACTTGCCAGGGTTTCATTTCGGGTGCCTATGTGTGAGCCACAGCCAAGTGAATTTCCTTATTTTTCGGTAGATGTTTTGAAGGGCAAATTTTGCGAACCCGCTTGCTGGGTGACTGCCGTCGGTGGAATGCCAGAATGCCAGAATGCCAGGAGCCAGTGAGCCAGGGAGCCAGACGAGTCTTTGTCGCATGGTGGTGGCTGCGTATCTGGAGACACGGCAGCAAGGTTTTGTTCATTGCAATAGTGTTCTTTTTGTTAGACTTGACCCCATGCCAGCTGCAAAAAGAGCACCAGGCTACAAGTCTACAGCTTTGATGTGACGCGTTCGGACTTAGGATGAAAAAGCATGGGACGACATTTCCGGCAAGTTGCCCCTTGCCTGGGCCTCAGCGGTTTTGTGGCCGCGTTGGGGTCCGTACAGCTAGCACTGAGGATTTGCTTGCATGCTGTTGCGTTCGTGACCAAGGCTTGTTGTTAAAGTAACCTTTGATATCGTGTTAAGTTGTCCTACCATCAGCAAAGGCTTGTCATGTTTCCCCCCACAGGGTGGCAAAAGGGCAAAGAGGCCTTGGGCAAAGGGCAACCATTTATTCCCGATTTTGCCTCAGGTTCTGAAGCAGTGCCCACGCCCTCCGGATCTGCCAGACGCAGAAGGGAAGCTGCTGCCACCTTCTAGGAATCAGCAGCTGGCCGATGAAGCCGTCTTGAACGATGCCCGCAAGGAGACGGATGTCTGCTGCAAACCCCTGCGCGCTTTTGGTTTGCAAAGCACGAAAGCTCAAGTTCGAGCTGACAAACTTCGAGCTGACGCACTCCAACGACAGTGTTTTGCTGTCGCTAGGACAAGACTCAGGTGGCCAAGCGAGATGCCATCACCAAGGTCCTCTTCAAAGGTTGCGAGCCAGAGGAGGCGCTTGGCCCTGATTTTGGGGCCAAACGCAGAAAGGTTTGAGGTCTTGGGGGTTCGCATCCTTTGGCCGTAACACAGGTTTGGGGCGTTTCCCTTCAAAGCCAAACAAGTAGGTTACTCCAAACAAACATCACACGCACACACACACACACACATCCATTTGAGATGAAGCTGGCGACCAGGCGGCTCCCCTGTGGCAGCCGGGGCCTCACAGAATTCACGGAGCCTGCATTGTTTTCTGAGGTTTTGTTGTCGCGTTGTGCTGTTTGTTCCCCGCACCTGTTGCAGGGTGGTGGAAAATTGCCAAGAGCATCTCCTCAAGTGCAGCAAGGAGTACATAGATGTGAACCCAACTTTCAAGTTCGCCAGGTGCTTAGACAGCACATACCGCTGGATTCTTTTCGGGGGATGTGCCGTCGTTTGTGCGCTCATCTTTTTCTCTTCGATCGAGATCATGCAGCATGCGCGGCAAATGTTCCCGCAGGCGGGGGCGCTGGAAACAGGGTTCCTTAAAGGATACATTTGCTTGTGTTAAAGTGGGGAACGCCAGAAATAGGGCAGATTCCTTAACGAACTTCAGATCCAAAAGGGCGGAAGTGGGTTAAAGAATAGCAGTTTCCTTTAACACCAGGGTTGTGGGATCATTCTGTGATACAAGGGAATCCCCTTGTTATATGTGGGGGGTTCGTCTTTAAGGCTTGCCCTTTTGGTTGTATCACAGATTCGTGGATTCCATTTTTGCCACAGCCCTGGTCCAGATCCACATCCACTACTGTGGATGTTTGCGAAATCCTCTTAGGCACCACCTAAGAAACCCTGGATTGATGATTCCCCTGTAGATGCCAATACTCGTGGATTCCATTTCCCACAACCCTGCTCACCCAACAGCCCAGCCTCAAGCCCACGTGACCCACGCCATGTGTCAAGAGCCAGGCCCACGTGGCCCACTGGGGCGCAGCCGGCGACTCGGGCTTTTTCAGTGGGATGACATTGGTTCCCAGGCGCAGTTTAGGGTGGGTCATTGACCCTATGTGAGAGAGAGGAGTTTTGAGCTGCCCAAAGTGGCTGTTGATTGTTCAGGAATGGCCAAGAGGGACGATTTAGGGTTAGTTGGTTTTACTTGGCGCAGTGGGAAACCACCAAGGAACACGCGAAAAGTTAGACTCTCTTGTCAGAAACAGCCCAGAGTTCCACTTGCAACTCGCCAGCGTGGCCAGCCACGGATCAGGACACGAAGTTGTGGGCCCAAGAGACGAACTTGATCGCCTGGGCCCCAGGACCCAAAAGCCATTTCGCGCCTCGATCAACTGATCAGCTGTACTGTTGTGGGATACTTTTTGGTTTGAAGAACCCGGCCGGGTTGTTCAAAATCATGCTTCATCCTACCAGATGGTAGTGGTTCACTACGGATTGCGGACAAAATATAGGATTTGGGCTCCTCGAACACTCCGATTTCGGTTAGGGTCATTTTGGCCAGTGGTGCAAGGGTGTCCAAAACAGGGGCGACCAAAACGGGGCCCCTAATCTTTGACCCGCGCGTGCTTAATCCACTGGTTTCGAACTCAGAACAGAACGGTTGTTGTCCAACAGGAAGCCAAACATGAGACCCAATCCTAGTGCCATTTCGCCGCCATATCCCACCTCAGGTGCAGCACTTGAAGGCCTTAGTGGAGCTGGTCCGGGCCTTCCGCCCGGCCGGGCGCCTCGGGAGGGAAAACCGAAATGCCATGTTAGGACCTAGAAATGCACCCAGAACTAGGATTCAAGGGCTGATGAACATTAGCTCAATCTCAAGTGGCCGAGCCTCAAATTTTTGTTTTTTGGTGGTACTTTCCGCTCTGGGGGTGTGGCGGGGTCAACATGGAAGAACAGGGGACTAAAAGGTGATGGCACCAGTGCCCGGTTTAAATGGGCACTCGATTAATCGGGCGGCCCTCAATGGCTATTGAGTTGATGTCCGACAGGTCGGAAGAAAAAAAAGAAAGAAACAGGAGAAACAAAGGGGACAAAAAAACAGCTGCTTCCTTCTGACTGGATTCCCATGACCCCATACAATGTTGCCCGAAAGGTGCCGCATCCACTCGCTTTTTTTTGTTATCCTTTTTTTTGGGGGGATATCTCACTTTGTTTAGGAGAAGTACGTGCTGGATGACGAGTTTGAGCTGGACAGTCCAGGGCTCAGCCCCGACTTTTTTGGTCGGGATGGTGCTTGAAAGCAGCAAGCCGGAGGCTTGCTGGAGAGTGACTCGGATGAAGAGGCGTGAAGAGCTTTCGTGAGTGAGAAGGGGGTGGCGGGCAAGCCGCAGGTTTTGTTTACCAGGTTCCACTTCCCGATCGGGCATGTTGAGTGGCGATGGCGGCGGTTCCTTCCAGGCACGGGCGAAGAGCAAGGAGAAGGAGAAGGCGCAGAAGGCGCCACACTTCTTTTGGGAAGGAACCGGAAGGAACCGGAGGCCGCACCGCGCACGGACGTCAGGAAGAGGAGGCCGAAGAGCCTTGGTTTCCGCCTACGGAGCTCGACATAGACGAGCCTCTCTTAGAGACTCAGAGCTTGGATCTGGCAAAGAACCCCAAAGCCTCTCCTTCCCAACCAGAGACTTATCCATCCACGGCTAATGTTTGGGCGCAGCTTACTTGTTCTGTCTCACGAGTCGCGCCCAGGATTTCAAGGAGGCGCACCAACGTTTGCAGGCCATCGATCCGCCCATGGGGAACCCTCAAATATTTCTTGGCTAAAGGGTCCATTTCCAACTCAAAGTCACGCCTCGTTTCTTTGCGTGTGCGCAGAAATATGGCTTCCCGATTGCCGACCCTGATACAGTCTTCGAGCAGTCGGGCGCCACAGGATGGCCATGCCGAACATGATTTTTGCCTCACGCTGCGGCAGGGTTCCCCCTATGGTTCTTTGTCATTTAAAAATGCATTGACATTTTGGAGAGGCCAATTCAAAGCGATCTTCGTTTTGGTGATTGGTGATTCGCAGAGTTGGAGACCCTGTGCAACTCAGGCTGGCGAAGGCTGGGAGTGCGAGGGAATCTCTTGTGTGGTGTGTTGTTTGTGTCGCCCTTTCGCAGGCTCCCAAAGAAGGCTGCGAGCACAGAGAGCGACACGAGCGCAATGCTCCAATCGCCCAGAAACCTGTGTTGGGATTTGTTTCCTGGGGCGTATCATGAAATCGTCCCACAGCTTGCCACGCTGGGGAAGGGGGAAAAGGCGGGGTCGTTTTTTTTTTTTTTTTTTTGTTTTTTTTTGTGCAGGCAAGGGCGCCAGAAGTCCCAAAAGCCCGCAAAGCCCGCAGAGCCCGAAGGGGCGGAAGAAGAGTACCCGCAAGGCGGGGGTTTTGGGTCCGAGCCGCGCCCCTTTTCGCCGCCGGGTGCTTTCTGAAGTTTTGCTGCGAGTTCTGCAGGTGGTGGGTATGGCAGTGAGCTTCTCAGAACGGATGGTTCTTCTTTTGGCGCTGCCAGATTGCCGGAGCCCAGGTGCTGGCGAATTGGTGCGCCCACAAGGGATATCCTCGAGTCAAGGAAGAGGAGGAGGCCTGGACAAATCGGATGCGAATTTTTGCATGGCCTCGTGGCGAAAACGCGCGCCGCCTTTAGTAGGTGGTTCTATTTTTATTGTTTCGCAGGGTTTACAGCAAAGTGTGGTGAAATGGGCGCTTCAGGAGAAAGTCGAGGCTGGGAGCACATCTCCGCGCACCGCGCTGGAATTTTGTTCGAAGCTTATGCTTCGAGGAGAGGCCTCGGACGTTGTGGGATGAGCTGTGGCCTTAGATTGCCTGACGGCCAGGCGGGCACTGTGGTTGCGAACTCCTCTTAGGCGCCCTTTCAGAAACCCTGGAACGATAATCGATTGCCCAACGTAAATGCCAAAACACGTTATGGTTTCAACCGTGGTTTCCAAGTGGTGCGAAATGGATTTCGCAACCATCCACAGAAGGTGAGCCACAATCAAAACCTGGTAGATGAAGGTTAGTAAGGGAAAATCAAAACCCGGGTTTGATTTTGACTCAGGTTTTTTTCTTGAAAGCCACCCCAAAAGTACACGGCCGGCAAGGGGGGACTTCACTCCATGGAGCCGAGGGCATTGGCCGTGAGGGCTCACCCGGAGAGCTTGTGGGCAGCCAACAACGCGGGGGACTCAGAAGGCGCTGTGAGTCCAAGCCGCCTTCCTCACCCAGAGCATTTGCAGTGCGAGGTGCCATGGAAGGGTAAACCACTTAAGTTCTGAGTAGCGAGGCAAGCCGATCAAACCGGCGGCGCCGGATTTTCTGATTCCCCTCCGAGGAGCAGGCACTAGTGGAGTGCATGTCGGCGGACGAGTGACTCGGCGTCTCGGGAAAAGGCAGTGGATCGTACCAGAGATATCGCCCTATGAATGAGGCAATGATTCTCGTAAAGAAATTTCAAGATGTGGGCATGGGTCAAAATTACACCAGGAAATGGACCGCAGGTCAAATCGTCCATGTTTCCATTTACCAGGGCTTGTTCCATTTTGGGGTTACCCTATCTTTGACGTAACCACAGCCATGTCACACAGGGCCTGGCCGCCGCTGCCGGTTTTTTTTCCTTCCCGAGACCGGATGTGGAACTGGTGAAGCAGCTCTTGACCAAGCCCAAGGCGGGGTGGGTGAGGTGACGTTGGATTATTGTTTCGGGAGTGATTTCCCGTTAAGAGGCCACCAAAAAGGTGCCCTGGAACAAAGTGTCTTGTATTTCTGGGAAAAAGCGAAGTGGAATGACCCCTGCACATCCATCCTCTCAGAGGTGCAGGTGTTAGGACTTTAGCTTTTTGCGGAGTCCCCCTGGCTCATCCTGTCTCCCGGCCGGGCTCGGTGAGTTAGGTGAACGTCGACGCCAAGGAGGACACCTTCGGCTTTACCCCCACGCACTTTGCCGCCAGGTTGGGGAACGCGGGGATCCCAGCTTCAGGACGCTGGACGGGGCTTGCCCTGCAAACAAGAGCATCAAAGAACAAGAACCAAAACAATTCCAAAACCAAACCAAAACAAAAACCAAAACAAAAACCAAATCCAAAGAAACAAGGAACGAAGAAGCAAACACATGAACCAGCTTGAAGTGGAGAGGGACGGACATCCACAGCTCAACCCGAGGTCCGTTTCACAAGCCTTGAACCATCTCGCTCGCTTTCTGGCCAGCACCAAATCGGCGCGCTCATACTGGACCGAAATCCAGACTTTGCCAGCGGCTCAGATCTGTGGCAGCTGCAAATGTGGCTGTGGTCAAAACGTTTTGGGATCCCAAAATGGGTTGGTAGGTGAATTCACCACCCATCCTAGAACCGCTTGAATCGGATGTTCACTGGGGGTATGATTTTTGCCATGTCAGTGACAGTCAAGCTGAGGCGTTGAAGTATATGATATATATCTTTTTCAGCAAGCCCCTCACTTCTTGGAGCATGCTTGTGACTTTTTCAGGGCCGTCTCAATCACCTGGGGTAGAGCTCATTTGCCCGTGGGTCAACAATGGGATCCCATTTTGGGGGGTTTTCGGTGCCCCACCCATTTTAGAACCTATTTTAGTGGTTGGATTGGGATGTTCACTGGGGGAACCGGGGTTTTGACCCATGGCCATTTGGCCAGATTGGCAAAGCAGAGCTCCCCCAATATCTGGCTTCTTCCAGCGCACGGGCCCTGCAGATGGTTGGTTTCCTGGAGCTTTCCTTCCTTGACAAATGGCTGTGGTTACGTCAAAAATAGGTAGCCACAATGGCTTGCCCTGGTAAATGGAAACATGGACTAGAACCTGCGGTCCATTTCCTGGTGGTTTAATTGTGACCCATGCCCAAGTCTTCCAAGTCTTCCCACCAGGTGCCGGACAAGATGGGGAACGCGCCGTTGCACCTTGCGGCTAAAGGAGGCTTCAACGAGTTTGCCGCGGCCCTAGGAGTGTTTGAGCCCTTATTCCAAACGTGTTTCAATCAGGTGTTCCTAAATGGTTGGTTCGAATTGAAGGAGAAAAAGTCCTGGTTGTGGCCACCAAATGGTCCAACCGCTCGAAATTCAGACCTATGTCCAACTGCCCAACCGCTCGACAAGGTGAAGTTGCTGTTGCCCAGAAGGGCTGCCCTGGACGGCAAGAACAAGAATGGCCGCTGGCCCCAGGGATCGAAATGCCGTTTGGTTGCGCTCCGGCATGCGTTTGAACGGCTTCGGCAACGTTCAGGGGAGCAAGCATTGCCAGTAGCTCTTCCCCCCGCAATTCTAAGATACCCGATGTTGGGTGTTTTTCCAGGGATGCCAAAAGGGAAAGCTGACTCCATTTTGGGGGTTTTCCCCTTCCCCGCTTTCAAATTCGAAGACCCCAACTCCTTTGGACAGATTCGTATTTGGACCATTGACTTGCGCTTGTTGGAAGTATTGACTTGGAATTTGACTTTGGAAAGGTTCGCAACCAGGTTGGACCCCATTGACTTGGGCTTGCTCCGGTGGGCATGCGGCGGTCTGGCCCCCGGCAGCGAGCGAGCCGCGAGCCGCGCGCCGCGCGCGAGCCTCATGGAGCCCTAGCCGATCGAGGGATCGACGCTTTGGTCGTGTGTCATGGGCGCGTCTTCATTCTTTTCTTTTTTTGGGGGGGGGGGACCGTTTTCCCGGAAGCATCGCGCAGGGTTCTTCCGTGCGGAGCCCTTGGACAAGTTACACAGAGCCAAGTTGCACAGAGCCAAGTTACATAGAGCCAAGTTACATAGGGCCAAGTTACATAGAGCCAAGTTACATAGAGCCAAGTTACATAAAGCCAAGTTACATAGAGCCAAGTTACATAGAGCCAAGTTGCATAGAGCCAAGTTACATAGAGCCAAGTTACATAGAGCCAAGTTACATAAAGCCAAGTTACATAGAGCCAAGTTACATAGAGCCAAGTTGCATAGAGCCAAGTTACATAGAGCCAAGTTACATAGAGCAGCCAAGTGGCACAGAGCCAAGTGGCACAGAGCCAAGTTACACAGAGCCAAGTGGCACAGAGCCAAGTGGCACAGAGCCAAGTGGCACAGAGCCAAGTGGCACAGAGCCAAGTTACACACAGCCAAGTGGCACAGAGCCAAGTGGCACAGAGCCAAGTGGCACAGAGCCAAGTGGCACAGAGCCAAGTGGCACAGAGCCAAGGTTAGGTAGAGCTTGCGTAGAGCTTCGGCGTAAGCAGCTATGTAAGATAGTTTAGGTTTCTAAGGCGCCGGGGCGGGAGTTTGATCATCGCTCGGGATTGTGACCCTCTGCGGAGATCTGCGTGGTCGATGTTAAAAAACTGGGGACTTTTTACGATTTCTGCAAGCCGCGCGCGACCCTCTGCAGAGATTCGCGTGGTCGGGGTTCAAAAACTGAGGACTTTTTACGATTTCTGCGGTGCGCGCGCGACCCTCTGCGGAGATTCGCGTGGTTGAGGTTCAAAAACTGAGGACTTTTTACGATGTTTGCGGTCCGCGCGCGACCCTCTGCGGAGATTCGCGTGGTCGAGGTTCAAAAACTGAGGACTTTTTACGATGTCTGCGGTCCGCGCGCGGCCCTCTGCGGAGATCGTGCGCGTTGAAGCGCTCTTGCCGTGGCGCCGTGCGAATTTGTCTTAGTCTCGGCGAACCCTCTGCGGAGATTGTGCGTGTCGAAGCGCTCTCGCTGTGGCGCCGTGCTTGGAAGTTGTCTCGTGGTTTGCGCGCCTGCTTTCGCAAACCCACGGTTGCGGGCTCGATTCCCCCCTGGTCCGCGGCAGCTCCGGCTCGAAAATCGCAGCTTCTAAGTACAAACGTAGTAGGAGCGTGCTCCTGCAGCTCCGGCTGGAAAATCGCAACTTTTAAGTACAGACGTAGTATGCGGAGCTTGCTCCCGCAGCTCCGGCTGGAAAATCGTAACTTTTAACCACAAACGTTGTACGCGGAGCACACTCCCGCAGCTCCGGCTGGAAAATCGTAACTTTTAAGTACAAACGTTGTACGCGGAGCACACTCCCGCAGCTCCGGCTGGAAAATCGTAACTTTTAAGTACAAACACACTCCCGCAGCTCCGGCTGGAAAATCGCAACTTTTAAGTACAGACGCAGTATGCGGAGCGTGCTCCCGCAGCTCCGGCTGGAAAATCGCAACTTTTAAGTACCAACGTAGTACGCGGAGCACACTCCCCGCAGCTCCGGCTGGAAAATCGCAACTTTTAAGTACAAAAATAGTACGCGAAGTACATTCCCACAGCTAAGGCAGCACTTGCGCAGAGCAACTTGCGCAGAGCAACTTGCGCAGAGCAACTTGCGCAGAGCAACTTGCGCAGAGCACTTGCACAAAGCACTTGCGCAGAGCAACTTGCACAGACCAACCTGCACAGAGCGCATGCGCAAAGCGCTTGCACGGAGCAACTGGCGCAGAATTGCTCAGAGCACTTGCGCAGAGCAACTTGCACAGAGCACTTGCGCGCAGCAGCTTGCAGAGAGCAACTTGCGCGCAGCAGCCTGGAACAATGCAGCTTGCGCGGCGCAGTTCGTGCAAAGCACATTGCGCCGAGCAGACTCGTGCAGAGCCAACCTGCACAGAGCCAGTTGCACAGAGCCACTCGCAAAAAGTAGCTTGCGTAGAGCCAACTTTCACAGAGCCAAGATGCACAGAGCTAAGCTGCGCGAGCATGCTTTGCAGAAACTGTGGCCGTCGTGTAAGCTTTGCTATTGATTGCTTTTCCTTTTGCTTGTAATTCGTTTCGAGCTTTACGAGCTTTACTCTTCTTGTTTTAACGGATGTAAATATGTGGGGTCGAGCACTGCCATGTTTCCTCTCGTAGGACAATGAGATGGAGCTCTCATGTGACCATACACATTGAGCACTGCCGCGCGCAGACACGCTCGCCGCAGCGATGCAAAAAGGCGTCCCCGCGGCTGGATGAGCACCTGGGGAAAAATTCTTTCGGGCCAATCGTCCTCTAGTTTTTTTGGGGTTTGGTTTATAGGGAACACCAATTATTTTGGAATTAACCCCTATCTTCCTATTTGATACAAGCCCAAATAGGGTTTTGACTCTCACCGTGGTTTTCCTTTTGGTCTCTCTTTGAACCAGCAAGCCCAATTGCACGGGCACAGGCTCATTCTTTTTGAGCAATCGTTCTTGCAAAGGGGAGACCATGGCCATGGCAAGCAACCGTGACTGATGTAAGTAGATCACACGCACGCGAACACGACTTGGCCATGGGTCAAAATCCCGTAGCCCCCGTGAATATTGCAATTCCTACTAAATAGACTAAAATGGGTGGTGCACCTACCCCTAAATGGGATTTTATTGGTTTTGACAACCACAGCCACTTGAGCTCTATGTCACTGCTGTGTTGCCAGACGGAGGTGGCCACGACATTAATCGCAGCCAAAGCAGCTGTGGCGATGCAAGATGTGGATGGCCGCACGGAGGCTTCGGCATTGCGATTGGGGGCTGCAAGGTCAACTGTGCCTGGTTAGAATCTCCCCTTACTTGGGGATGGTAGGGATGGTCATGAACCCCTTAGGGGTTTTAGACAAAGAATCATGATTGAGGCAACCATGACCAGGATGCATAGGAGTTTTGACCATGGCACACCTGCCGGACTTTGTTGCAGTTGGTTTCCCCAAAGGGCAGCTAGTTCCATCAGGACGTAAACCGCTTCTTTGAGAGGGTTTTTTTCCCTTTCCGGGGAGCCCCACCGTTTTTTGTGATCAGAGGGGCCATTATTCTTCTGCAATTCCACATTTTTTGCAGGAGATTCCTTTAGGGTTTTCCAGCAAAAAAACATCAGAAACAAAAAAAAACATAAAAAAAAGGCGGGGCGGCTTCGTCCTTTTCGGAGGCCATGTGGGCTGCAAAGCACGGCCACTCAGAAGCGCCTGGGGCCCAATGACAGCCAAAAGTCGCCAGGTTGATGCCTTGGCGACGACCGGAGTGGGGGGGGGGGGCAGTGAAAATGGCGGTTCCAGGCACGGCCAATCAGTTTTGGGCAGACATTGAAGGTTGGTTCGATGGAGGGAGCCATAAAAAGTCCGGAGGTTGCAAGCCACCAGTTTTAGTTGCTCTTTGACCTTCAAAGTTTCAGCCCAAGCTGGTCATCTTGAGTGTCACCGTTCTATCTATTATAAGGTGAACAAGGGTCACCTCTCAAGTGGAAAAGGACATCTTCCGTTCTGCACTCCCTCCGGAAATAGATCCAGGTACCTCCCCACAGCCATGTTAGTGGGAGGAAGGGTAAGGTTAACCCCGGATTAATCAACCCCTGGTTGATTAATAGGGGGGTGTCTAATTCCTTTTAGTGGTTGGATTCAGACCACTTTTAGAGGGACACCCCCCTAGTAAAACGGGTTCTACTTAGATCCTGGGTCAACACTATCTATCTCTTGACTTTTGGGAGCGTTTGGCAGCCCCCGGCATCGGAGCGTCAGAGGCTGGCAGTTCTGCTGGACAAAGGCGAGGGCCGTCTGCCTCTTTTTTTTTTTCATCCGAGTCTAGGGGGTTCAGAGTTTGCTCGCAACACATGTGGTATGGGTCCAAATTAAGCCACCAGGAAATGGACCGCAGAATTTAGTGCTGGTTTTTATTCACCAGAGTTCCATATTGGGTACCTATTTTTGACCCTCAACCACATGCTTTTCAACCGCCGGCTGGTGTGAGTCTCGTTTGTTGGGATGCCCTCTGGAATCTGGCTGGATGCAGCGTTCTTCAGACATGTTTAAAGCTGGGCGCTGTGTCTGGAAAGGTGTTGAATCGCCCAGCCCTGCCAGGGTTCGACCTGAACCTCAGTGACAAGTTCGGTATGGCCGTGGCAGATCACGCGCCAGCGCCACAGTCGGGGTGGTGTGTAGTGCGTGTATGTATGTGTGTGTGTGTGCCGAGCTCCTGATTTACCCAAAAACGGACATTTCTCGATTCCTCCGGCTGATCCTTCGACTGATCTGTTGAACTTGATTGGAGCACTTGAGTTTAAGGGTTTTTGGTGACCTTGGACCAAAACCGAGCCTTCCCAGAAATCAGCTTAACCATTCTATTCTCATTTGCAGTGTCGACCCCAATAGAAGACCTCCCTATGAATCAGCGGGTTCATGATCGGGTCGCCTCCCCCACCCCGGCGCTTTTGGCCCCAGGCAGGACCACCTGGAGCTTCGCATGACACTCCTGGAGGCGCTGGCGAACTCTCTGGGCAAAACCCGGTGATGGTTTGGATGTTGCAGGTTTTAAGGCCGGGAGGAAACCAACCCAGTGAGCCATAGTGTCTGATTTTCAGACGGCAGCGCTCTTGAGTCTTTCTCCCTCCAGTGAGCCAAAGCCTCCATATCCCCCCAGCGCTTACCTGGTGTAAAAGGGGCTGTGAGGGCGGAGCAGAGGCGGAGCAGAGGAAGGTCTTGGCTCCGTTTCGGTGAGGCGGAGCAGAGGAACCAGGCGCTGCTGTCCGCTGCGCAGCGCGGGCAGCCGAGAGAGGGAGAGAGAGAGTTTTTTTTTCTCGAAGGGTATGTCTTTGTCGCTTTTTTTCATCCACTTAAAGCAAGGCCCCTTGTTGTTTGCGGGCTCGCTGCCCGAATTGGGGTGGGCTGAAAGTTGTTTTTCGAGGCATGCGCATCGGCTAAGGCGGGAACAAAGAGGATCTCATGCAGGCAGGCTGTCGCTTCAATTGGGGTCCTCCAAAAAATAGGGGGGGGGGGGGGGTTGGAGGGGGGTTGGAGGGGGGGGGGAGTTTTGTTGGTTGTTCTTTCGATGTCCTTCTGGCCCGGGGCCCGGGCTCCTATGTTCTTTGCTTGCAGCGGTTCTCAGATCGAGCAGGCCCTGCAAGATGGAGCCTATGTCGATGCAAAGGATGAGCATGGCTGGACTGCGCTCGTATGGCAGCAGCCTCAAGGGCTCCGTTCTCCGAGCAATCGATGGGTCAACGTCTCTGTGGAGTTGGGTATGAGTCAGAACGACGCTCAGACCCCTTTTATAAGCTTTTTCGGCCACCCGGCTAGAAAAGGATCTATCATAAAAGCAGCTCTTGACTGGGAGTCTTCTTGGCTTTTGACCCCCATTGAAACCAACTTGGGTATGTGTGGAAATTAAGCCACCAGGAAATGGACCGCAGGGTTTAGTCCATGTTTCCCCTTGCCAGGGCAAGCGATTTTGGGGTACCGCTCTTTTGACCCCATGAAACCACCCCTTACTTGACTAGGTCTCCCAGCCAGGTGCCCTTCTCTCCCCTTTTTTTGGGGGAGGGTTTTTCTACTAAATCAGACCACCGAAAAAAATGAAATAAAATCGGGCACCCTTAATCTCCAACCTCTCTGGAGGACCTTTTTAAGAACCCCAGGTCCATGCTGGAGCCCAGGTCCATGATGGGCTGCTGCGTGGACCTGGTCATCGTCCTTGCGCAGCACAGCGCCGATCCCAACGCTGGGGGGCCCAAGCAAACGAAAATCCGCGCCGCTCGTCAAACAAAAACGTGGCGCCGAGGTGCTGAACGAGTGCTCGGAGGCCGGAGCACGAGCAGGGGAGGGACTCGCTTTGGCCCCCCCATTTTGGGGGTTTGCCCCTATTGTTGTGCTTGTGCAAAAGGAGGGTCCGGGAATTGCGGCTCTGAGGGCCTTGGCCTGGGAGGGGGCATGGAACAGTGGAGAGTAGCCTTTATGCCCCAAAATGGGATTTGTTCCCCTTTTCATGCTTGGGCCTTCTGTTTTTCCCGTAGATTGAAAAAAAGGAGTGGCTCATTTCAGAAGCCCGCGCACGCCTGGGAGGCTGGCCATTCCCGAACTGTGGATCGCCTTCTTGCGGAGTTTTTGTGCGGCCACAGCTCCACGTAGCTGTCAAGGGAAAAGGGTCCTTCAGGGTTCCCGGATTTCCAGAAGCCATTCGGAGCTTGGACACGTGCCTTCTAGTGCAAGGTGCCCGGTGCTTGGAACTCAGCCCCCAATCCCGCAACAAGCCAAGACCCTACCCTGTCGACGGTGGGAACGGCCTCAAACGGTGGGTGGACAAATTCATGATCATTCATCTTCTGTAGCAAAGACAACTATATGTATATATATATATATATATTACAGATGGGCCACGCTCACCTAATATTAGGTCATTATGTATGTTATATATGTATATATATATATATGGTCCCGTGTTCCGTGTTGCTACCCCCCCCCCCCCATATGGTATGGGTCCCCCCCCCTCCCCCCCCCCCGGCCCGAGACCCCGAGCCCCCGGATCCTGGCACCTACCGTCCCACCCCCAACCCCACCCCGACCCCCTGAATCGCACCCCGACACCCCGGCACCCCCACCCGCAGGACAAGCCAACCCGCAACCAACCATAAACCAACCCTAAACACACCCTAAACCAAACCCTAAACCGTAGACCTCTAAACCTAAACCAACCCTAAATCAACATATACCAACCCTAAACTAACCCTAAACCAACCCTAAACTACCCCCAAATACACCCTAAACCAATCCCTAAACAATAAACCCCAACCTAATCCAACCCTAAACTAACCCTAAACCAAACCCTAAACCAAACCCTAAACCGTACTCTAAACCAAACCCTAAACCGTACACCTCCAAACCTAAACCAACCCTAAATCAACATAAACCAACCCTAAACTAACCCTAAACTAACCCTAAATACACCCTAAATATACCCTAAACCAATTCTAAACCAACCCTAAACCACCGCAACCCAACCACAGGACCACAACCACAGGGGGGGGGGTACTTGTCTGACCCATGACCATTGGCAGTGGACATATACACACACACACATAAATTTTGATGCTCTGTGCGAAGTGTACCCCTTCTGTTTTTTTTTGGGGGTGGCTGCCATATGAAGGTGCTGGACCACTTGCACCTGCAGGGGGACCAGGTTCGGCGGGCCTTGGAAGCGTCCGGCACCCAGCGAGCCTCAAAGGGGCGGCTCGTCTGTTTTTGGGAAGTTTGGGGATTGCTTGAAAGGGGGACCAACAGGAAAACCACAACTCTTTTTGTTTGGGAGGGGGGTCCCTAAAAAGAAGGGCACGCCATGACACACCCATTTTTTTTTTTGTGTCACCTTGTTTTGGAAGTGGACATAACGGGTTTTGGAAGATCGACATTGTGGTGAAAGAAAAAGGGGCCTTGTCCACATCCGTTGCAAAACGGACACCTAGTTGCTACCCACGTGTTTCTCTTGAGCTGGTTGCGAACTGGTTGAGAAACAAGTTCTGCGTTGGGTTTTCCTTTAAGTGCCCCGTTTTTTCAACTCCGCTTCCCGCAAACAGTTTGCGGGATGAACAAAAACAAAACCCACGGCGATCCGAGGGCCTTGGCAGGAGGCCTCGGGGCTGGGGAGCGCCTGCTCACCGCTGCCCGGAACAACAACTTCCAGGCGGGGGATGAAGCGGGGGCGGCTGGGATCGATCCGAACCATGAGTTTTCTTTTCTCCCATCTATTTGATGTGTAGGTCCAGGATGTGTTCGGTGGAGCTGTCAGTTGCAGCAGGAGCTGAACAGTGACAATATGCAAAGCCCTCCAGTCAAAGCGGGTGAACGGAGAGACATTGTAATGGGCATCACGGAATGAGGGCAACCACGATCAGAGTGTGTTTTGGCTGGGCCGAAGGAGTTGTTACTTGCATTGTTTGGTTTTCCTTTTTTGTTTTTTAAACAAACAATAATAATAACAATAATAATAAAATATATGGGGTAGACTTAGGATACATTTTACATAGTATCAGTGACTCTAAGCGAAGCAAACCATATAATGTAGATTCTATAGCTGGGCCAACTCTAGCCATGTTATTTCTGTTGCAACGAGTTACTTGCTTTTTGGTTGTCCATCATATATGTATTTGTATTTTTTGCAAGTGTTCGGATCCGCTTGGAGATCTCCCCTGGAGCCGTTTTCGCGGGGAACGCCGGCGTGTGTGGCACATCCTGCGCTACAAAACAAAAGTTGACGGTTTCGCACTTGCATTGTCTCGGACGCAGGAGCTGCAGCGAAGACGCCTCTCTTCTCTTCGTCTTGTTTTCTTCTCTCTCTTATTTTGTCTGTCTTCTTTTCTCTTCGTTTTCTTCTCTCTTCTCTTCTTTCTTATCTTCTTTCTTCTCTTCTTGTTTTCTCTTCTTGCTTCTCTTCTTCCTTCCTTCTTCTCTTCTCCAGGTTGTGAAGGCGGAGCTGGATGTGGGAGCTCAGGTCAATAGCCCGCGGCTCGGAGGATGCCGTGGCAGTTGCTTTGATTTGGCAGTGGGTCATCAAAACCGTTTTGGGAAATCCCATTTTGGTTGGTAGGTGCACCACCCATTTTCGGCTATTTTAGTGGGGATTTTTGGCAGTTCTCGAAAATGGGGTAACCCCAAAATGGGTTGCCCTGGTAAATGGAACCAAGGACTAAAACCTGCGGTCCATTTCCTGGTGGTTAAATTTTGACCCATACCCATTCACCGTATTTTAGTGGGGATTGGGATGTTCACCGGGGGTACGATTTGGATTTTGACCCACAGCCATTTGTGGAAAAAGAGGCGCCACACTTTTGGGGATCACCCAGTGAAACCCCAAGAGGGTGGAGGAAGTGGACCTCGCACTCATGTTGGATAGTAGCAAATGTTTGGACGCGTCCCAAGCGTTTGGACACGTGTCAGGCCAGACGGTGGAGCAACTCTTTACCAGCCTCATTTTTGCGGCAGCTCATTGCAACTACCAGGCGCCACCGTTCGAATAGAGTCACACATGGTTGTGCCCGTGCGAGGGCATGTTTTTGTTTGTTTTGGGGCGGCCTTGTTTGGCCTCAAGCGCACACACACACACACACACACACCCTCACCCCAAGAGGCTTGGCCTTTAGTTCAATTTGTTTCAAAAAAGGTTGGTGACATGAATGCCGAGCTCAATCCTATAGATTCACACCCAGATCTCTGATACAGCTACTGCGCCAGGGCGCAGTGATGCTCATCAACCGCAAGGCCAATGTTCATCTCACAGATCTCACAGGCAGGGCCCTGGGCCCTGGGCCGGGAGTCTGAGAGCCCCGGGAACTGGTTGGCAACTGCCCAAATCCGAGAACCCGAAGCTGAAATGGCTGTGGTGGTCAAAACCGTTTTGGGATCCCATTTCGGTTGGTAGGTGAATTCACCACTCATTTTAGAACCTATTTTAGTGGTTGGATTAGGATGTTCACTGGGGGCTAACCGATTTGGATTTTGACCCACGGGCGAATCTCTAAACCCCCCCCTTCAAGCAAGAGATCCCAACCGCGCGAGGGATGGCGGCACATCCGCTAAAACCGCACGAGGTTTGTGTTGGGACCGTGCGGGGGCGGGGGGAGGGGGGATTAAAGGCGCTTTTTCCTGTGGGCGGGTTCTAACAGACCCTGCAGGAAAGAAGCCTCGTGACCAAGGTGCACTTGCAAACATCATTTTCCAATCGGTGGAAATTGCCCCAATGGATCACTTCCTCCACCTGCACCTTTCGATGCTTTTCTTCCCCAAGGGTCCAGAAAATCGGGGGTTTTGGGCGAACTGGGGCCCAAAGCTTGGATTCGCTTCAGTTTGTCTTAGACTCTAAGGACCAACTTACATAGCCAAAACAGAACATCGTACCCCACCTGTTGGCCCAGAAAAAAGGGGAGGCTTTTTTTTGGGGCTATCCCTGTAGACCTTAGGGAAGGCCTTTGGGGGCTCTCCACCCGCACCTGGACTCCCGCCTCACCGCTTTGGCTTTGGCTCGCATCCGGCCGCGCGTGGCTCCCGTCGCGGGTCGCGGGGCGCAAGGCTGGGCGGCCATGCACTACGCCGTGCAGTCCGGCAGCTTGGAGATGGCCGGGGGCACATCCGATCCGATCGATCGGCCACGGGGGGTGGGGTTCTCTCGCAACAGCTGGGTGGGGGTTCTCTCCCATTTTGTTTTTGTTAATGATATAATTCCCTCTCCCAAGCAAAAGGGGGCACATCCGCCGATGGATGATCGGCCAAGGTTGGGTGCATCTCTCGTAAGAATTGAGCGGGGGTCCCCGTTTCCAAGCAACAAGGGGTCACAAGACACTTGCCGTGGAGTAGAGATTTGCCATGCCTCCAAGATGGTTTGCTTTTTCCTTTTAAGTAGTCTCCCTTTCCCAAGCAACAGGGAGTCAGAAGAGACTTGCCGTGGTGTAAAGGTTGAACCGTGACCATGACCCACATGATGGACTTTCACCGTGGTACAAGTGAGACTGATATGGTGGTATCATCGACAATTTGCTGTTGATTTGAGAAGGACGGCCAAAAGGGGGGCCAACCCAAAGCTTCCCCAAGCAAGTGTGACTCTTGGGGAAGGCTTTGCCCTTTGGGCCAGGTGTCCATGCTCTGCAACAACAAGGCGAACCTGGCGAGGGCTCCCAGCGATTAGTCTTCGGTCGAGGCTCAAATGGGACATTTTCCGGACCGGAGGTTCACGGAAAGGTTCCCAGAGGGTATGCGGGCGCTGGGGACCCGAAAGTCCGGTGATGATTCGGTTGCGGAAGGTGAGGGAACGGTTCTGGAGGTTCGATGTTTCTTTTTTTTCTCACATTCACTGACATTACCGGGTATAGCGTTGAGATATGTCAGCATGCGAATGCAAACATACATTGTTGTTGTACCCTTCTGTTCGGGATCTTTCTCGCCCAGGGCTTCCAGTTGCGATTCCACTAGGTACCCAGTGAAGACTATCATGTAAAGTCCAGAGCTAAAAGGCCAGGGTTAGATGCCAAAGTGGCAACTTCAAGCACTGGAAAGAACCCTATTCCTGGGCTGGAGGCACCGGTAACCCCATTTTTTCCAGTAGAGAGGTCAGCGGGATCATATCACTGTCTTTCAGGGTTGTGGGATCACTCGGGGTTTATCCTTCTGTCTAAAAAGGGCTTGCTTTTTGTTGCATCAGAGCCCTGATTCAACCACAGCCCTTCTTCGTTCTGGCGCTCTGCGAAGCGCTTCTTCGCCTCTTCGCTTTGCTGAGGCCCAAGCCACCTTTGATGGGACCACCACCGTGCATCTGGCCGTGCCGCCCTCAAGCACCAGTCACGGACCTGCGTTTGTCGGGGCTGCGGAGACGTGCGTTTAGACTTGCAGTGGATGAAAAAGTCATCATGCCATGTAATTTGTCTCCAGGAAACGTTTTGGATGCGGCGTTTGTGGAGGTATCCCTGGAGGATATTGAAAGAGTACTAGAAGATCGGTGGAACCAGGACCAACAAGGAGAAGAACAGGGGGAATTCACAACAGGCGCACCCAAACCGTTTTATGGAAATGCTTTCATTCGCGCTAGTTTAGGTATTAGTTATTATTTGTGTAGTTATGGCCATGAAATCTAATAGGGAACAACCTCAAACGTGGTTGGTTGACATGAATCCCCACCTACAATGATGTCCACCAAAGGGTCCCGCTAAAAAAAGGTCATGCCCTTTGAGTGGGCAGTACCAAAGGGTCCCACTCAAAATGTCCCACCCAATTTCCAGTTGCCGCAGGCGCGGGGGGGGCTGGGGTCCATGGTCCAGCTGCTCTATGCGGGGAAGTGGGGCCCCAAGAAACCGACTGCTGGGCGTGGCGCGGCGTGATGTGCCGCGTTGGATATGGCTCAAAAGTAAAGAGCTCGGGTTACGGTTTTAGGCTTTGGTCCCATTTACCAAGGTGCCATGTTGGCACCACTTTTTTGAGCCACAGCCAGGTGTCCTTTTTGGTGGTTGTGGTGGAAAAATAGAGGGCGGTTCCTTGGTTTACCTGGTGGATTTTTTTCATCTACCAGGGATATTTGTCTATTTGCCCTAAAAGGACACCTATGGTGCCGAGGGTTTGTCTTTTCAGGCGACAGGTACCCTTTTTTGGGGCTTTCGTCCGGAAGTAAAGAGGATAAGACCGACTCGAGATGGTTGTGCCAAGCGCCTTTCGGAGGTCCTCCGATTTCTGGTTTGATGGCGCCTGTTCTTTTTGGGGCAAACGACGACACCCTCGCCATTTTACTTGGGGAACGCCCCCGAGTTGTTGTGGTCTAAAACTCGTGGAGAACGAGGTGCGAGCTGAACAAGGCCAACGCCAAAGGCGTGTACCCCACCCAAGAGGCGGCCAGGCGGGGTTCTTGACTTAGTTTTTCCCACCCCCTAACCTGAAGTCCAGTTTGGCCAGAGTCTCTTCCTTGTTGCAGCCGCCTTTGAGGCTGCCAGCGTGGTTTTCAGCTTTTTCCGTGGTTCCATCCATAGGGTGCTCGTGTTTCGACCGCTTGGGCGGCTTTTCTCGGGTTCGACCTGGGCCGGGGTGCTGCAGGTGGGGCTGTGCGGAGGCGCTGCAGGCGAGTTGAAAGACGTGCGATCGGTGCGAGAGATGCGGGGAATGAGCGGCATGGAGCGACTCTCAAAAACCATCCCACCGGTTTCCTTTAAGGGGACATAGGCAGGTATTCCCTGCCTATCGCAGCAGGAAAAGGGGAGGACAAAAAGGGCAGAGCTAGAATACAGAAGGAGATGGGGTGCAGAGAATTGCTAAGAATGGCAGCTTTCACTCGTTGTGGTTTCCGTTTACACCAACATTGAACAAGTGAGCCACAATCAAAACCCGGGTAGATAGTTGCGGATATGCGCCTTCTGAATTCTTGAAGCATGGTTCTGGGATTACGACCATTTTTTTTTCTCCGGGTTTTGATTTTGTGACTCAAGTACCCTCAAAGCAAAGACCCAAATCCAAGTTGATCTTCATGCGATATGTCTTACACTGGCGAGGTGCTGATCTGCTACCGCGCAAGCGTCACAGTGCGCTGGCCTCGGGGAAACCAGGCGTCGCATCGCTGGCGTGCATCGTTCATCCCGGGGTTTCAGTCTGTTAGAAACGGCAGAACCCCCAACAAATCGTTCTTTTTAATTTATTTTATTTTTTATTTTTATTTTCTCATGCATCGGTGATCCCCGGGTTCAAGTCTTTTGGCGCAAGTGAGGGACAACGACCGGAACCATCAAACCAGGCAGTGTTTTTTTTTGTTTGTTTAATTTCCGCGCCTGGCCAAAACAAAAAAAACACGAGCGGCAGTGCCCAGAGGCGAGAGGCGAGAGGCAAGGAGCGGGATGCGCCGAACGCGCCCAGGAAAGATAACAAGGGCCGGTCTTTGCTGGCGCTGGCTGTGGCTGGGTCCTCAGGCCTCGTTACAGGCAGCGGGCCTTTCGCTTGAGGTGCTTCATCAATTTTGGAGCACCAAAATATCCGCACGTATGGCCCAACGTCCAGATCCAAGGGTCCCCAAATCAAATTCATACCCTAGCCTTTTTGGGTCTGCTTTTAAAGTCAGAGCCAAGAGAAAGCTGAAGCATGTCCGCAGATTCCCAGAGGTCCTGGGGTCACTTCATTGCTGAGGCGGCGGGACGCAACGAAGTGGCGGCGTGGCTTCAGAGTTTGGAACAGGATGCAACCCTGAGAACGTTATCACCACAGGGTAGCTCCCTTGATGCGCAAATCCGTGGCTGCAGCCCACGTCTTGTACGCCCAAATGGAAGGATCCAAGGGCCACGGCCTGGACGCCAGTATGGAGATTGATGTCCACCGACCATTTTGGAGGGCACGAATTTATGGCCACTTTGATCAAATTCCGAGTCGAGGTCAATGCGTTGCTTCGGCCTTTACCTGTGCCCGTTCCTGTTGTGCCTCCGGAGTCGGAGAAGGCTCGCATCCGTGGCTTGCTAGTCATTGATTTGCGTGGCCGAACCACCCAGGTGGATAGGAATTATGGGGAAGCTTCTGTTCTGCCGCTGGCCCCGACGGGCAGTACACAGCAGCCCTTGAACAGTCAGCACGGTGGACAAGCGGCTTTTATGGCCACTTATGTTGTGAAGTGCCTCAAAATTCATGTACCAAGTTGGCACCTTAGCAAACGAAGCCAAAGACAAACACCTTCGCAACCCTAGCTCTTTCATTTTGAGCTACAGGAGTTCTGCTTTGATCAAGTCGATCACAATGGCATAAGCCGCGGGCATCAGTCCTTGGGGCTTCTTGGAGCATTTTTGTTGCCGGGTTCGTATCCGCAGGCCATCGTCACGGAGAAGGGATTCGCCGCCGCCTCGAAAACACGGAAGAGAGGCAGACTGAGCTCCAAGCGGGAAGCGCATCTTGAGGGGTTCTCGAAACAGCGTTTGGGGAGTGGGGAACTCCCTTCAAACGATGATTTACATAGACCGGCAACTGTTTTTGTGCTTGTTTCTGGCCGTGCCTTGTTTCAGGCCACGCACGAGAACAAGGAGCTCATGGCCAAAGCTGTGGTCCTAGCCCGCTTGGCGTCTGGAGGCAAGTAAGTTCAGATTTAGAGCTTTATCAAAATGAGCCGCAACCAAAACCTGGGTAGATGAAGGTTAGTAAGGGACAATCCCAACCATAAATAGCTGCGGCCGCCTTCTTAATTTTTTGACATGGTTCGGGGGAGACCATTTTAATAACAGGGTTTGATTGTGACTCAAATGGCTTTCGGAGGGAAACCCTCAGCGAAATGGATTCAAGCCTGTTTCTTTAAGCCTCCTTGAATGACGGGCATGTGGAAAACTTTACGTTCGCCGCCGAGCCAGCTGAGGCCGTGCTGATGCGGCGGAGCTACATGCAGGTCCTGGCCGAGCGGGAGAGCCGCGAGCGGAAGAAGCGGGAGGATGCCCTGAAGGCCGGCCGCGTGGCTCTTCCGAGGGCCAGGAGCCGCCGGCCCTCTTGGACCTGGGGGATCGAAGGAGCCGCCACTTTTCGACCCCCCTGGGAGTTGGAGGGAGGTTCGAGAGAAGGCATGGCTTTGTCTGAGGCTGATCAAGCCTCAAAACTGAGAGTGTCCAAGACAGCCTTTGCCCTTAACCCCTCAACCACTATGCTCCTCCAAGACAGCCTTTTGCAGCTTGGGACAAATACCAGGCCTGGGTTTTTTCCCGTTGCCCCAGGCACGTTTTTTTCTCTTTTTTTGCGGCAGGCAGAGAGGGAGGCTGCGGAGAAGGCAGCACTCCAGGCCGAGACCCGGCTTTTGAGCTAAAGAGCCGTGCCCAAATTCCAGGGCCGCGCATGGGTCAAAATTACACCACCAGGAATTGGACCGCAGGTTTGAGTCCTTGTTTCAATTTACCAGGGCAAGCCGTTTTGGGTACCGGGTACATATTTTTGACCCACTATGGTGTTGCAAAGGAGAGCCAAAGGAAACTTGCTTCGAAGTTTTTTCCAACCACTTTCCTCTCCGCAACTTCCTTGCTGTTGTGCAAAATCCATGCCCCTGGTCCTATTTTGGAGCCCCGTCTTCCTCTTGTTTGTTCAGTATTTCAAAAGGGGACGGTGCAGACACACGTTGCAAGCCCCAAATCCTGTGTCACAGAAGGATACAGAGAAGCTTGAGCGTACCGCACAACCCGTAGATCAGGCCGTTGAGTTTGGGCAGGATTATGGACGTCTTCAATTTCGAACAACCTCATGCAGTTTCGGGTAAAACTCCTTTGAGGGCCCGCGTTATGGTTCGGACTGGCATGTGTCGTGGGCAGTGCCAGCACCAGAGTGCCTGGCTGCATTTATCGCAAACAAAGGGGCCGTTTGGTGTTTGAGGGAGTCAAGGGAACATGGCCGGACCTTCACGATCGCGAAAAGTATTTGGGTATGGGTTAGAATATAACCAGAGGACCGCAGGTTTTAGTATTGGGTTCCGTCTTCCAGGGTTCCATTTTGGGTACTCATTTTTGACCCGCAGCCATTTGAGCAAAAAGCTTCAGGAGGTCCAACAAAGCGTCGCGGTTTTTCTGCTGCGTGGCTTCCGCAGTGATAGGCCCAGCTGGATGCGGCGGTGCGGGAGGACCTAGAGAAGAAGGCCTCCAGGAGCGGGAGATCGCGCCACGTGGTTCGGCGTGACGGCTTTCACTTGAACAAAAATGGGTGTGGCCCAAATTTCCACAGGAGGGGCAAACCGCAGGTTTTGGTCCATGTTTCCACTTACCCCCCGAAATCTAATGCTCTACCCAAAGGCTTTGGTTGTTGCAGCCCGCATTTTTGTTTGGCTGCTTAGTGTGTGCTCGCCGAAATGACATATTTGTTTTTGTTGAACCGAAAGACAACACAAGGCTGCAGATGCTGGAGTGTGGGGCACTTCTGCTTAAATATAATGTGGAAGCTTGCGTGCAGAACTAGGTGCACAACATCACTTTCCGCTGCCTGTTGGTTTATACTTTCCGGCCGCCCGTCTTCTGTGAAATCGCTGCGTTTTGGACACCCCTCTCTCATCCCCCCAATTTAATAGATGTCCATATTTTGTTTTTGACACCACCCCCTGGTCTTTTTATTTAATTCGACACACGCACACACACACACCAAGCTCCTCAAAGCCAACTAATGGGTTTTCTGTGGCACCACAAAAAGTTAAACTTTTTTAGCAGGGGAGGAGAAAGCAACCGAGTCTTTTTATTTGACACAAAGCCAAGCTTCGAAAAAAGCCAAGCCGCTCTTTGCGCGCGCAGGAAGGCGAAGCCCGGGCGCGGCAAGGCCGCGGCCAAGGCGGCAGCGCCCGCGCCGCCGCCTCCGCCGCCGCCGCCGCCGGAGCCGGTGGTTGAGGTGAAGCTGGCGCCCAAAGTGGTGCCGAAGGACAGCTCACTCACTCACTCAAGTTCGCACGGAACCTCTGTGGGCGCAGCTGATTTATTGGGGGGGGAGATCAGGCCCAAAAACGGCAACAGCAAGTGCACGTGTCTGCGCGCGTGCGCACACTACTCCTCCCGCAGGCCTGATTGCATGCACAAAACTGGGGCTCACACCGTCAAATCGTAAGGGTCAAACGGCACATGCAAAGAAGAGAGAAACACTTCGTCAGCTTGTGCAAGTTTGATTGGCCCCGGCGCAGTGCAAAGGCTGATGGCACGGTCACAAAGAGATGCGGCCAACGCCTTGCAAAGTCTGGCCGGGCGCTCCCTGCAAACCGTAGCTGACGATTCGCTGCCAGCCGGTGTAAACGAATGCTCAGGCTCAGGACGTGCTGCGCTGTCAAGGCGCTCAAGCAGTGTTGGCAAACCGACTGAAAGCAAGTAAATCAACTCAGTACTTTGCTCAGCGTACCAGGCTTCCGAAACTCCAATCAAGTCTACACCTGGCAGCTGACTCAGGAAGCGTGTCAGAGTCAGCTTCCAGACTGATGGGTGTGAAGATTTGTCGGCAGGCGCAGGATGCCCAACAACACACGCAACGCCGCATGAGACGCACAGCAGAAAGGTGCGGAGCGCATACTGTACCCAGGCTGACTCTGCACGCACCTGCCAATCCCCTTTCTTGCCAAGTTGCGCAACACCCCATGGCTCTTCCTCGGACCTGAGAAGGCGTCGCCTGCTCTGAATAGCTGGGCACGCTCCGCAGTCTGTGACCCAAGTGTCGCTAGGCGGCACAGCCACACATGCTGCAACCCACCCCTGTCGGATGAGCTTTTCAACAAACTCTACACTCTGCGAGTTCGGCGCTGCGCCGCTGATGGACAAGCATTCAACAACAATGCCTTGCTCGGCAGCAAAAACGGCAGCTTGCTGCTGCACTTCTCGCTCATATCCCCGCTTGCTCATGCAAAAGAAGCTCAAGATGTATCTGGGTTGGGCAGGTTGACGCGTTAGCCGTGTCAATCCCAAATGCGCAAGATCTGTGACAACAACCTGCCCCTGGTGACGAACAGCTTGCCACGCATGCTTTTCCGAGTTGCAACTCGCGTCATCTGAGAGTAGCACCCATGCAGCGGCGGCCACGGTTCTCTCTACAAATGTCTGGTCGTGTGTCTGAGCAAGGATGCAAAGTGCCTCTGTGATCTGTGCTGCCAGAAGTTCTGAATCAGTCTCGCCACAAGCCAGTTGTTCGGCTGCAAGGACCCTTGGCGTGGTGGTCGTTGCTTGACCCGACTGACAGTCAAACAGCTAGAGCTATTGTTCCAGCTCAGCCACGACAGGTTTGTCTGGCAGCAGGGCTTGCGCAGTGTTTGCCGACGGAGCAGGGAGCAGGGCAGCCCTTTGTTCAACACGTGCCCGGGACTCTTAGAACTTTGCGCAGCCACTTTGGTGCCGAAGGACAGCGGCGAAGAAGGCTTCGGTCGCCCGGAATTCGGGGCTTGAAGGTCCTCTGAGGCCCCTTCCTTTTTGAAGCACCCTGTGGGTGACTGACAAAAATGGTCTGGAAGGTTAGGAAGCTTTCAAGGGTACCTTCCATTTTTATTCTTAGCCCAGGGATCCGGATCTTTTCAGGAAACCATCAAACACCCAGGGGAAACCGATCGATCCGGTTTTTGAAAAAAACGATGGCGGAAAAGAATGGTTGGAATCAACCCCTAGAGAAATGGCTTCGGTGTTCCTCTTGGAGTCCCCATTGAAACGAACAAAGGGTGGTCATCAAATATGGCGATCTTCTCATTGTATCCATTCGATCTTTTACATGGTGGACGCCGCAATCTTCATAGCATCCACTGTTCACGGGATGAACATCGTGTGGTATGGTGAGATTTAAACAACAAGCATTCGTATCATAAGATAGTTGGCCTTTGGGGCATTTGTAACATGGATTCCTCCAAGAAGGTAGGTAGTGTGAGAACATGTGCGTTCAAAGGAGAAGTTGGTTAGCCAGGTTCCCATCTGATTTTGGGAAACTATTTCTGTTCCTGACTTACACGCCTAAATGTCAGTGTGTGTGTGTGTGTCTGTGTGTGTGTGTGTGTGTGCGTGTGCGTGTGCCTGTGCGTGTGCCTGTGCGTGTGAGTGTGCGTGTGCGTGTGCGTGTGCGTGTGCGTGTGCGTGTTTTTTTTGTTTTTTTAGTTGTTCCTTGTTGTCTACGTGTTTTCACAGTGTTTTTCACACTACATGTCTCCTCGGATTCTGTCAGGGTTTAAGAATAAATATCAATGAATGAATAGATTAATGAATACATATAGATATATAAATAGATAAATACATAAAAATAAATAAATAAATAAACAACTAATTATTTAGATAAGTAAATACATAAATGACTGACTGACTGACTGACTGACTGACTGACTGACTGATTGACTGATTGACTCAATGAATGAATGCATGAATGCATGAAGAAATACATAAGCATGCAACTAGATGAACAACAAAACCCAACGAACACAACATAAGCATAAATACACAAGTCGAAATACAATAAGCATAGGTTGCACAATTATAGAAATGAAGGTTGCGCAAGTTTTTTTGACAACAAGAACATAGTAAGTAACATAGTAACAACAGAACATACAAAACGACTTCCACTCAAATGGAAGGCGCCAGGAGCATAGGTGTCCTTTTTGGTTGTTTTGGTTGAAAAATAGACGGCGATTCCTGGTTTACCTGGTGTTTTAATCATCTACCAGGGAAACTCATCTATTTCTCCCAAAAGGACACCTATGGCCAGGAGTTAGCTAAAGGACCAGCAACCCTGGTTGTACCCCACTTATAATGGTTGTAAGTCCCCTATAACTAGGGCAAAGCGAACCATTTAGCGATTCGTGCCAGACCATCTAAGTAGGCCTTCCACTCCAATGGAAGGCGCCAGGCTCTCCCAGCGGTTGTTTTGGAGACTTAGGAGCTCCCGGCGGCGGGGGGCCCGGCGCGGTTCACGGAGCCGGACGCGCGCGGGAGGCTGGCGCTGCACCTGGGAGCGCTGTCCAAGCGCCTGGATACGGCGCCCGGTTTGAAAGGATTGGAGTTGTTTTTTTCCCGGATTGGAGGGGATTCTGGTTTTTCGACCTTTTTCCTGGTTTGAAAGGATTGGAGGGGGTTTTCCGATTTTTCCCGGGGTGGCGCCTGGTTTGAAAGGATTGGAGGGGTTTTGTTCGACTTTCTTTTCCGGGGTGGCAGCGATTTTGCCCCCTTTTTTTTAAAAAGCTTTTCTGGGGCTGGGTTCTGTTTTCTTTTTTCAGGGTGGTCGATATTTTTTTCATAAAGCTTTGCTGGGGCTGGATGGTGTTTTGAGGGTGGTTGTATTTTTTCCTTCTTCTTCTTCCGTGTTTTTAAAGCTTGTCTAGGGCATTTCTTTTTACAAATCGGGGAGGTCGATTTGTTTAAACAAGAATCCGAAGTGGCTAAAGGCTGGAGTAAGCCTTTAGGTCTGGATTTGAAGCCTTCGAAAGAACGCCGAACCAGCGGTTAGGAGGCTGATCTAGAAATGACTGCTTTTCGCGCTCTTGTGAATGTCCGGTGTGTTTTTCAAAATTGTGGACACCCCTTTTGGAACCCGCCAGAATGTTGTGCCATCGCAAACATGACTCTTGAGACTGAACAGAGCGAGTCCCAGGTGACGCTTTTGCTGGAGCTGCGGGCCGACGTGAACGCGCTGGATACAGAGGGCAATACCCCACTCATGCTGGTCGCCAGGAGCAGGGGAGCGGGAGAGCGGGGGAGCGGTCGGTCTTTCTGCTACGGAAACGAGGTGCTCATAGGTGTCCTTTTTGGTTGTTTGGTGGAAAAATAGGTGGCCCTGGTTTACCTGGTGGTTCAATCATCTACCAGGGAAACCCATCTATTTCCCTTAAAAGCACCTATGGAGGGGCTTGCATAGCAAGGCATTCCTGGATGAGCTGAGCAGGAAAGGGGTAAAGCACATCAGCTCATTGTGTGTGCGCGTGTCCCCTTCTTCTGAATCCGCCTCAGTTCCCCCGCCCCCCCGGCAGCGGATGCGCATCCGGGTTTCACGTGAAACGAGCCCCGAGGACGGAGGACCGGTGGATGGTGGAGGTGCTCCTAAGCTTCGGCGCGGATGTGTCGGTGGTGAACGCGGACGGGGAGACCTGCTTCAGCCGCGCCAGCCAGCACATGCAGGAGACAAGTTTGGCCAGGGTTCCTTTTTTTTAGACAATCTTGGGGTAGACTTAAACCAAGGGTTTCTCGGTTGGGGGATTCAACCACCCCTGGTTTAAGTTTGCCTTGGGGTAGTCAAAAAAAGGAACCCTGAGTTCGGCTGCGTGTGGCAATGGCAAAGGGCAGCCTCCCATGGCGAAGAACATTTTTTTTGTTGGGGGGCATCATGCGCAAAGACAAGACGAGGGACGACCTGCATCTCAGAGGAAGATGCACAAAAAGAGGCGACCCAGAAAACATGGCGAAGCTACTGTGGATAAACGCAATCCTGCACCACGTTCAAACCGTGGGAAACCATTGTTTGTTGGTATTTCTAGCGCAATCATGATCCCAGAGTTTCTTGGGTGGTGCCCAAGAGGATTTCGTCCAGCCACAGTAGTTCCCCCACGAAAAGAGGATGGACTCTTGGAAGGACTACATCCACAAGTGGGTGCAGCAGAAGCGGTTCCGCGGCATTGTGGAGTTCCCGCTGCCCCCCAGCCCTTTGCAGGCCGCTGGTCTGCTTCGAGTTGGGTTCTGGGGTTGGGACACCAAATGGCTCAAAAGTAAAGAGCTTCGGTTGCGCAGGTGTTAGTCTTTGTTTCCATTTACCAAGGGGCCATTTTGGGTACATTTTTTTGAGCCACTGCCATTCGTGTTTCGGTGCGAATCAAACCACACTGCTTGCGGGGTGGGTGGGTGGGTGGGTGAGTTGGATTGGCTTGATGCGGAGGGTCCAACGCATCCCATGTTGTGGAGAAAAAAGTGAATACACAACACGGGCCGCCCTCCGACAACACACCTCTTTGCACCCTTTACAGCCCCAAAATGGACGCCCTTCGCAAGAGACGCGAATTCAGATGAGGAAACGCATCCTTGCCAAAAAAGATGGGCCTCGAAAAGGGCAATCGTTGTAATATTCTTGTCAGGTGCTTTTTCGATGACTCTGTACCCTGATTTCGGTGTGCGTGTTTCTGAGGATGCCCTTGTTCAACTTGTTTTAAAGGGAAGCCCACAGGAAAGCCCACCCATGTTGGGGGCACCCCCGTTTGAGATATACCCAATGGCCCATCGCAGCCCTCACCCTACTACGGCCGACTCTGGATCCGAATGCACCGGGACATGGTCGGCATTCCTTTGAAGCAAAAGGACACCAACTCGGCCATTTCCGACTCCCAACACCGCCATATTCTTTGTTGGGCAGAATCACCCTCAATCCCCCCCCGAACCCCCCCCGAACCCCCCCTTCCGGCGCTTCACGGATCCATCCGTACTCTTTCTGGCAGAGTCCCCACCACCACACTATTTTGGGCAGACCCAACCCACCCTCCCGCCAAAACCTCCCCCCAACCCCCCCCCCCCCCCCCAAAACCTCCCCCCAACCTCCCCCCCCCAAACCCCAGCACTTCACACGGCTCCATCGATCACACGGCGAGCCAGGCCTTGTACCGGGTGCGGGTGGAGGCCATCCCCATGCTGATGGACCACGCGGAGCTGGAGCGCCAGGTGCTCGCCTTCTTCGCCAAGCTTCAGTACGAGCGCCTTGGCACAAACGGCTCGACTCCGTTTAGGTCTCCGTTCTTTTTTTTTCTTTTTTTTTTCTCTCTCTCTCTCTCTCTCTCTCCCTATATATATATATACGGCCGTTCCTTCGGTCTTTGTTTTTGTTGGTGGTCTTCTTTTGGTGGTGCTCATTTTTTTTTTTAAAGCATGGTTAGCTTTTTGGTTTTGTTATTGTTGCTCTTTGGATGTGTTTTTGCGGTGTTGGTTTTGGATGGTTATGCTTTCGTGTTTTTTCCCGCTGTTTTTTGTTGTTGTTTTGGAAGGTTGGTTTTCTGGATCCTTCGGACGCTTTTTGTTTCTTTCTTTGTTTTGCTGTTGGTGGTGGATCGAGCTTGGTGATTTATTTGGTTGATTGGCTTTGGTTTGGTTGGTTGGTTGGTTTGGTTGGTTGGTTGGTGGGTTGTTTGGTTGGTTGGTTGGTGGGTGGGTTGGCGCGGACGTCCTGTTTGAGGATACCCTGTTCGGCCATATTGTCAGGTGGACCTTGGACCCACAGAGGCCTTCAGTCTAGGGAGCTGCTAACTGAGCTGCCAGCTGCCGGTACATTCCCCCCACGAAATGGGAAGAAAAGCTCTTGGTCATTTTGGGCCTGGGCATGCTGATCAAGCCATACATCTCCACCAAAATGGATCCAGGAAGCCACTGCGCGTAATCGTACCCGCCAACCCGATCCACGGCTGGCCCATGGGCTTCTGCTACGCCGACTACGCCGAGAAGCAGCAGGCCTCGGAGGTCTGTAAGGCAGGGCCTGAGTTGTGCTTCATGTCATCTATTCTTTGTCTTCTTCTTGGTCTCATCAGTCGCCTTATTCGCCTTACTCATTTTTTTTTTCTTCTTCTTCTCCCACTTACTGTACTCCCCACTTACAGTGACTCATGCCCGAAGTACAGTAGCAAAAAGATCCCTCGCGGTTCGTCAAATTCTTCCTTTCTGGGGGGTCACGGCGTGTTTTCACGTTTAAAGAAAGGAGGCATGTTGAGCGGGTGACCTTGTTGGCGAGGGAAGCCAAGAAAGCTGAACTCACATCTTTTTTGGGGGCCCTTCTTATTGACTCATGCCCAGCTAGCTTTGAAACAAAAGGAATCCCGCCGCCCGCTGAAACCCACCAACGAGGTGGCGAAGGTCGAGGGCATCTTCATGAATCGGAGGAGGCTGAACTTCATCAACCAAGGTGCGCATTACCAGTACAAGGACTCGGCTGAGTCGTCGGTTCCTTTGGGGTGAGTTGTTTGGGCTTTAGGTCTCAATGTTCGGACTGAGGGGTCTTGGGTTTCAAACTTGGGCTTCGTTGCGGGAAAGGGCTGAGATCCAGGCTGTTGTGAGTTTAAGGTTGACTTTGAGTCGGGTTGGCTTGGAGCTGATTTGCGCCAGGTGTGCGGCTGGCAAGATGTGTTTCTCTTTAGCCAGACCCGGGGCTCCTTTAAAGCAAACCCCAAGGTCTGAAGAACAGAGATTCAAGCGCAAGGACTCGTCGGAGAATGACGCGGCCAAGGAAGCGACACAAGATGCTTGAATGGCCCAAGCCAGAAAAGATCTCCTTGCGAAGCAACGGATCTTGCCATTGCAACAGTTTTAGTGGAGTCGCTGAAGTGATTCAGAATTCACTGCAACGGTCGGTAGGTGGAATTTGCCATGCGCGAAAAAAAGGACATGAAAGCCTTGTGCTTCAGGATTGCAGAGCCTTGCCGAAAGATTCCCACAGTTTTGAGCGAGAGTTCCGCGCCGCCGATTTCCAGACAGACCTGGGCACGTTGTCTCACAAGAGCCGTTTTTGCGAGTTTTGAGTTCTGATATCAGCTTTCGAAGCCAACAGCATCAAGCTCATGTCAAATGCGTTGATTTTCAGATGGCGCCATAGTCTAGCTGACCCGAAGTGAACTGCTTAGAAAGCCAGGCGCCCAGTTGGCTGTGCCAAAGATGCGCGGCCATGGCTCAAGAGGAGCCGGAACACTCGAAGCCACCGGGTGTGGACTACGGATCGCCCTGACCTGACGGATCGCCCCGAACCTCAAGGGCTGTGCCATGGCAAAGCGGTGGCTCGTAGTTGAAACTTGCAAATATGTACTATGTACCAAAGTACCAAACGAAAACACGAGTACCGCTAGAGAGGTTATGCAATCACACATGCGTTCCTTTTCTTCTTCTTTCTTCCCTTTCTTCTTCTTTTCTGAAGCTGCTGCTGCTGCTTCTTCTTCTTTTGCTTCTGCTTCTTCTACTTGTTTGTTTAAAAAATGTTTACTAACTCATTTTCACATTCAAAGGAAAACCAAAGGTGGGTGGGTGGATGGGTTGCTTCGTTGCTTAGCTGCTTTGGCGGGGCCCAAGCGGCCGCTTTGGTGGATCGCTCGGAGAGGACTTTCTCCGCGACTGGCCGCAGCTGAAGCTGAAGGCAGAAGCTCGGCAGGTCACCATGGTGCCCCAAAATTGGACGTGAGCCCCCGGTTGACTTGTGAACATGTCGAGGGGTTACAAGAAACAGGTGGATGATTTCCCTTGGTGCCCTTCAGAGCATCCCGTTTTCTTGTTGATGGGGTTGCTATGGATCTGTCAAACTCGTGGTCCTCTCTTGGTTTCTTTTTCACCACCAACAGGTGGGCTGGAAAGCGCAACGATCCGGTCGGAGCTTGGGGGCATTTTGCTTGTTGGAGCGCTTCAATTTTCTCTTTGTGTTTAGTCGGTCAGCACTGTCCCTTTTTGTCTCGGAGTAAGCAGGGTGATTCCTCAAGCCATGGTTGACCAGCATTTGACAAGGGATCCCTCACTGGGAGGGGGCAAAGAGCACCTTCCTGTTTATCTGGCAGTTCAAGAGGTCCCTTAGGATGACCATTGGGGAGAACCACTAAGATTTGATTCCAACCAAATGGGAAGAGTTACCCCCAAAAGGAAGCTGAGTCAGGACCTAAGGCCAGGGTCCCATTTGGCCACCCGTGCTTCTGGACAGAACCTACGAATGCCTTCCCTTCAACCTCTTGGTGTCCCGAAAAAGGTGGCTCTTTAGGAACCTCTTGGTGTCCCTGAAAAAAACGGTGGCAGGGGTCCCTAAAACGGCGGCAGCTCTCTCTCGTGTAAGCCTTTGCCCCGGTTTCTGGGCCGGGGCCATGGAAAACGAAGCGGGAGAGGCGTCTTCAGCTGACTACTACTTCGAGTCCTACAACCACTACGGCGTGCATGAGGCGCTAACGCCAGGTTCCATTTTACACCCTAGTCAAAGTGCTTGAAAGGATGGAGAGACGGCCAGGAAGATCGAGTCCCCCCGTTTGCTTGCTGCCTCTGAATAACCCTTTATTCACAGCGGTTAAAATTGGGCAGCGAAAAATCACTGCTGAATTGTTTTACCGCAAAAGATACAAGGGTGCGAATTAAAACCAGGGGACTTGCTCTTTGCGGACGTGGCATGTTTGCCGATGTTCAATCCTTACGGGCAGGTGGGACCCGGAGTGGGTGCGGCAAGAACTTGCCAAAACATAAAGTCGTGTTCGGGCGCAAAAACAAAAACGCCACCATTCTGTAAAGGGTCGTGTCCTTGAGAACCCTTTGGAGCACGAACCATCACGACCTTTCCTCCGAGCGCTCACGGGACGCGCTGGCAGGACATCCTGCGGGATGGCGCCACCCTCCCGGCGTTTCAGCAAGCCATCTTGCAGAGCCGGAAACTTGGATCGGGGGTCGAAAGGGTGCCCCGACGTCCTTCTTCGCGTGCCGTTTTTTTTTTTTTTGGGGGGGGGGGCAATTGAAAGTGAGTTTCTTTGGTGTTTTTTTTTTTTTTTTTTTTTTGGGGGGGGGGGCAATTCAAAGTGAGTTTCTTTACTTTTCTTTTTGGGGGTGGGCAATTCAAAGTGAGTTTGTTCTGAAGTGATGTAAAAGATTGTTTTTTGGGCCAATTCAAAGCCAGTTTGTTCTGGGGAAATTTCAATCCAGACGAGTCGATGTGGGGTTTGTCTCCAAATGGAGGACCCTCCAAACAAAGCCCCCCCAGATTCGGCAAATTCACTAGTGATCCAGCAAGATGAGTTTGTTAAGTCCTGGACAGCGTTTTGTCGCAAGGGAGTCAATCACCAACATTTGCTGTAGCAAAGGGTGTGATGTGGGGGAACCACTCGCCAGATTGCTGTGAGGAAATGTAAAGCACTCGCCAAATTATCGTGCCACTCAGGGAGAGAATGAATATCGTCCATGTCTCATGACAGAGTAAGACGTTGCCCCAGAAAAGTAAAAGTGGTTTGGATCGTCAAGCGATGAGCATCAGAACAGCTGACTTGCCTTTCCAGCAGATGCCGGAGCCAACAGCTGACTTGAAGGCAACCTCGGGTGAAGAGGGAAGCATGACACATGGTTCAAAGCAAGCGATGGGTTCTGACCTGAGATGCCCACATCTTCCAGGGCAAGACGGTCCTGGAGGAGCGAGACTTTGGATCGATCGTGGGATCTTTGCTGGGATTCCCTCAGGCGAACCTTTTTGCTTCAAGGCAATATGATTGGACAAAACACCGGCGGTGGGACTCGAGTCGCCCCAGTGATTTGGGATGGTTTCTAACAGTTTGCACTGCGGGAGTTACAGACTGAGGTGTGAGGATTGGTTGCAGACAGTTGCTTGTTTTGGCTGCTCCGGGCAGTCCGGATCTCATTCAGGTGAGTTCCGGCCTGTCGCTGTGCTCGCTCTTTGCAGCGAAGGCGGGCTTTCAAAGCGCGTTTCGAGCGCTGGGGGGTGGCGCATTTCGACGTTGAGACTTGAGAGCTCGCCTTGTTGAAGTGACATGCTCCATTTCGAGGCGCCGCGCGTGCAGCTTCGCAATGGTAGGCAGAGAAACGAACGCAAGGAAATGTGTGCCCACGAGACCTCTACAGGGAGCACAAGCGCTTGCCCTCGCAATCGCGACCACGCGAGCTCCTCAGGCCGCAGGCACTCTGCGAGCGTGACGAAGCGCCAGCCACGGCTGCCAATCCACGCCTATCCAGGCACAAAGAGAGCGGGGTGAAGGCTGGCGAGCCGAAAACGGGCCGCCGCCTTGCCGGTCGGTTTGCTGTCGTAAGCCACGCTGTAGGTCCAAGACTGCACAGCTCGGGCCAGTCCGTGACATGATGCTTTTGGAGAAGCAGCGGCGAAGCAGCCAAAGAGGACGACAAACCCGCACACAGCGCGTACCAGCGCGTACCCAGCGCACGCGGTGTGGCAGTCATGCTTGCTGGTTGCATAGCCCCATTGCCAGGATCCGTGTGTGTCGACGTTGCTCGGGAACCCGCAGTCGTTTGACTGTTGCATGGTCTCTCTTATTTTGCTCGAACCTGTTCTGTTCACAGTTGTGTTCTGCTGGCGATTTTGGTTGTCGCTTCTTGGTAACACGCCTGGTATTCGCAAACGTCTTAAACCACAGGCCGAGCGCTCAAAGCTTGGTGAAACACGACGCCTGCGACGAGCCACTTGCGATCGCCGGCTCGGCGTGGCGCACGTGGAAGACAGCGGCCGCTTGCAGCTGCCTGGCCGTGCTCTCCGGGCAAGGGGTGAGGCGACCCTTGGAGTGTGCATGGGCGAGGGCGCGGGGGCTCTCGACTTGTCGACTTGCGACTTGGGAAATGCCGCCGCCAGTGCAGCGCCATCGTCTCATGCAAGGCATGCTTTGTGCAAGCGGCAATGCTGTTGCACCAAAATTCTGTATTGTTTGCATGATTCAGAAAGTGTCGATCGATCCATCAATGAATCAGTCAGTCACTCAGTCAATCAATCAATCAATCAATTAAGCAAGCAAGCAAGCAAACAAGCAAGCAAGCAAGCAAGCAATCAGCCTGCAAGCCCGGGAACCACCGACAGGCAGCTGAGAATGCATCATTGTACATCTACAAACTGAGCATCACTATTCATGTGCAAACTGTGCAACGCTGTAATCTGCAGCAGAAGGATAAAGTTCGAACAAGATTCGAAGAATTGACTCCGCTTGACCCACAGCTGCGCGGGGGGAGCTGCAATGCGCGAGGCCAAACTCCAATGTTGTCGTAAGCAGGTTTGCGTTCACGTGTTCACGTGGAAATGCCGCATGTTTCTGCTCGACCAGCCACGTGCTTGTTCCACAAATGTAAAGCTTCATCAACGATGGGTTGAACTAGCTTGTGAAATTGCACGACATCCATCTTTTAAAGATCGGCATTGTGGACTGCCGCGTCCGGCGGCAAATCGTGAACGCAACCGTTTCCTTGATAGCTGCGTGTCGCAAAGAACATATTTTGTTCTTGAACAAATATTTGCACCCGCTAGCTGTGTCATGAGCAGTGTCACGTATGAGGTTTCCTGCCCTGGCAGGACACCCCAAACCTTGCATCTGCGTGCCGCCCATGGTGTTGCTGCTTGGTTGAGTTGGCTTGTGGGAGCTTGTCAAAAGGTTGGCTTGATGCTTGCAGGAGTTGGCTTGTGAGAGTTTTTTGACAGCAAGGTGTGCCGGGAGAACACCTGCTGTGATCCCACCCACCCACCCACCCTGCAAGCCCAAGTGCTTGAGATTGTTTCCCTGGGGCTGCGATGCACGGGTCGCTTGGTGGCTTTGTGAAAGCTGTCTGGCTCAAAAGTAGCCGTCGCGCGCCGATGCTTCCTGGCGCTGCTGAGGATAAGGCGCTCAGCGTCGTCAGGCGGATGCACACGTGGGGCACTCCTGCTGGGGCGCAGTCGGACGCCAACAGTGGAGAGTTTTGTGCGCCGATGGCGGACACGCTTATGCGAGAGCACTTCTGCGCCCCGGCAGTGAACACACTAGCGCGCAGGAAGTTTGCGTGCGACGACTGCCGAAACGCTGCCGCGCCAACAGTGAGCGCTTCCATGTGCCGACGGTGAACGCGCCTATGCGCCGACGAAGAACACGCCTATATGCCAACGGGGAACACTATTCTGCGCCGACGGTGGGCACGCCTGTGCGCCCACGCCGCGCAATAAGGGGCCAGCGCGGCACGGGCAGCACGCTAGAGATCGCGCGCGGGGAAGGAAGCGACGCTCTGCTTCACGCTCACCGCGCTGGCCTGCCGTGCGGGATAACGCCCCCGTTGTGAGCACGCGCGCAGTAGGCACGCAAGTTGCCAGACCACGCGCGGGAGGCAGCCCCGGTAACGCCTGATTGGCTCCCGCGCCCGAATGACGGACCATCTCCAGCATTGATGGGGAAAATGTTTGCCTCGTGTGCCTCCGCAGCTTGCATGCCATGCCGGAGTGCGTGGGCCGGAGTCTGTGTTCGTCTGGCCTCCTTGTGGGCTCGCTTTCCACCTTGGTTGCGTCGCTCACATGAGGGTCAGCCAGGCGTGGGCCTCGCAGTGCCCGAAGCGGCGGTTGTCTACGACGCGAACAGGCCCCCGCTGCGCCGCCCGCGCCAGCTGGAATTGTAGCTTTGTATTGCCACCATCTTGCTTTGATGAACGATTCCCGGGCCCACTCGGATGATGCGTCAGGACGGAACATCCGATGTTGCAACAAGTGCCTGAGGTGCCATGTTGCGCGGTGCATGGGCTGCTGCAGCAGCCACGGCGCGAACAGCAGTTGCCAAGCCAAGAACATGTACCGCCGCAACAGGAAACCCCAACCGCCTCAGCAGGACCCAACACGTGCAGGGCGTGGCAACTCATGGCTTTCCAGGGCTTTCACAGCCCAGCGGTTTAAACCTCGTCTTGGCGCGCCATCCTCATCACGAAGTGCCGCTCGCAGACGACGCACATGAGCCAGGGGCCACAATAGACTTGATGGCCATCGCCATGCCTTTGCACCATGTTACCCACATTGGCGCCGCGCATGCTGCTGAGCAGAACGCCTGGTCGACACCGCCGCGCTCCGGAGGAGTTGGAAAGGCGCGCGCGGCTTTTCAGGCAGGGGCAGTGGGAAGAACTGCTCCAACACCCGGGGAACGGTGCCGCCGCCCCCGCTCGACCCGCCCGACCAGGTGTTAGGCGAGCTCTCGGCTGCGGCAAGGGCGCTTGCTGCCGCATCGCTCGCGCCAGGCACCCACGACACGCTGCGTGAGCTGCGTCACCCGGAGAGACGCCCGCAAGTCCAGCAAACGCCCATACCCGCGAAGGTGCTGACGACCGAGCCGGAGTCCCCAACGCAGTTGTCATTGGAAATGTTCGTAGGCAACTTGCGCCGAGCGCGGCGGGGTGCGGCAGCACTGCACCAATGAGCCAGACAACTGCTATTATACAGGCGGCGCAGCAACTGGTCACTGCCAGGTACCAGACACGATCGTGGCAGCCTTGTTTATGGCCTGGTGGCATTGCAAAAGCCTGGCGGCCGTGTGCGGGGCTTGGTCGTGGGAGGCAAAATTGTCGCCAGCCCCCAGCTTGTACTTGTGGTATGATGGGGTTGGCCAAGCCGAGGGCGGGGAGCAGGGCGACCCCCTCATGCCGGCACTGTTTGCTCGCTGCCCCGCACTCACCGCAGCCAGGGGCGCTGTGCTCGACAGCGAATCCTTGCTCGCGTACCTCGGCCTCGTCAACTGCGACCTGGATTCCTCCGAAGGCGGGAAGGCCATTCGCGAAACCTCCAGCCGGCGCAGCTTGCAAGCACACCTGTTTTCCAATGTGTGCTGGGTCTGGAAACAGTTTCTGGCTCACTGCGCTTGTGAACGCTGGTTGGAGAAAAAAAACCCTGCCTGTCCTGTGGCTCACCCTCCAGAAGCCCTGGCACTCGGACTAAGGCCAGCCTTCTCACACGCAGCGTTGTTGTTGACCCGGTCAGCGCCCGGGCACCCCTGAACCCGGGCGTGTTGGAGCAGCGGAAGTCAGCAAAGAAGTCACTGACATCCAGCACTGGCCCGTCAGTCAAGGCTGCGCACGCCGGCGCCGGGCAGGGCAAGAAAGCTGTTGCGTACGCACGCGCAGCGGCATAAAGATTGTATCCTGGGCCGGCAGGGAGCCGCGCCGGAGGCCCTTCGCCCTGCCCTTCGAAGTGCTTATGTCCACCGCTGTTGTGCGCTGCAGCTTCGCTCGCCTTCGCTGACAGCCTCACTTCCTTGCCCTCCCCTGGCCTGAGCAACCTTGATGGGCCTTGCCCGGACTTGAGTGACCTTCTCGCTGCGTGCCCATTTTCCCCTGGGGCGTCGCGGCTGCCGGCCCGGTGGCCGTCGTGTGCACGCGAGGAGCCAACAGCGTGCAGGTGAGG